TACACAATTCCCTGGTCTGTCAGGAAAATACATCTACTGCCCTGCCAAAGTATTCTCCCTGTACAAGGACCAGGGGATGGAGACGCAGATGAGCTGGGACCAGTTCCTTTTTATGACCGGGAGAGGGAAAGGTGGCGTGTAAATAAATGAGCTATCATGCTGTCTATTGGTGCTATTGTATATAGTTACTATATTATACCTGTCTGTTCATAAATGTTTATAAATATTCTAAATATTATGTAAATATATACTTAATATTGATTATATCTAATTATATAATTTAATTTGTAAAGTCTGCATCTACAGTTCTGTATAGTCAGCTCTCAGCCGTCACAGTCACAGGGCTCATCACACAAATACTAGTTTAAGAAGATAAAGATAGCATGTTGTTGTTTTTCTTCTAAGTGTATTTCTTAAATTTGTAAATATCTCTTTTTTCATATGTTCAAAATAAATATATTATAATGTCATACATTATTGAAGTCTTTCTTTTTATTGATCATATTTCAGTGCAAACAGTAGTATTTGACAAAACAATCTGTATAGAAAATAGAGTTTCAGTTCAGTGCCAATCAACGATATGCCCACTATACGCGGCTGGCCCCCGCGGCCCGACCTTGCCTAGCTTCCGAGATCAGACGAGATCGGGCATTCTCAAGGTGGTATGGCCGTAAGCACGGGGGTATGGAGCAGCGTGCCTCCTGACCCTGCTGCTGCGGTCCTCTCCTCCCCCAGAATGAGCGCTCAGGCCTGGGTCTGAGCGGGAGCAAAGCCCTCCCCGGTGATAGCCCAGAACCGGAGGAGTGCGTGGGTGAAAACCCCGTGTCTCTAGCACCCCTGGTTCATTTTTGACATCGCTCTTGGGCGGATGGTAGACGCGCGGTCCCCCGGTGGTTTCCAAGGGCCATAACTTTCTGGTCCTTTATCCCCCGCGCGTCCAATTCACACCGCGGGTACCCCGGGACCAGGGGAGTCCCACCCCCGCGTCTGTAGCCCCCCTTCCGCGAGGTCTCTTCTCTCTTCCGGTGTCGCAAATAATAATAAAACGAAATAATAGTAATGCCATAATTCTTTTGAGAATTTTAAACAACTAGAGCCAAAACAAACACATTGATATTGAAGCATAAAGGATTTGATTTTCCAATTTGATTTAGAAAAGGAAAATAACAATAAACGAATGGAAAATTTGTTTTTCTGATTTTATTTTGAAACGGAATAACTAATGATCGAAGGGTACACGGATTGAAACAAACACTACTAAAACAACTTCCATTATTTTGTTTGATATGCTACCGGAAATGATGAGTGGTGAGAGACGCAAACAACTGCAAGCTGCACTCAATTCAACTCAACTACACGACAACAACACGCGCTGTTGTTGAGCTCGCCCCCAGGCCCGAGCTCCAGGGGCAAAATGATTACAGCGCCATTTGCACCTGCGGACTGTCCTCCCCGGCTCGTAGGCTGCAACCCACTCCCTGCCTGGGAACTGCCTCAGTCCTCGTTCTGCAGCCCGAGTCCTGCTCCGCGGGGCCTTGGTCCTCATTCTGTAGTTTAAGTCCTGGATCTATAGCCCGTCCGTCCATGTGGAGCGGATCCCTTTCTCAATATCTGGTCTCCCAGAGGTTTCTCAATTTTCTCCCACTGGGTTTTAGAGTTTTTCTTCTTATGCAGGAGGGTCTATTGGACAGTTGGTGTCTAACAAAAAGGACTGTGATGATCCAAGACACTTTAACATTCTAACATGTATGACATTTGTGTCTACTCCTTATGGACCAATGGTTCTGTGTTTTTATCATTGTGCTTGTGCTTAAAGTGTTCGTCTCTTGTATTATTATTACAATGTATTATGTGCTTTGGATTTGCCTGATATTTATTAAATTTGTAAAATTAAGTCTCGATGCTCTTTCAATATTATTTATGCATTTATTTATCCCATTTATTTATCCCATTTATTTATCCCATTTATGCATTATTATCCCATAATACAAACGCCCTGCACAAGAAGGGCCAAAGTTCTTTCTGAGGAGGCTGAGGTCCTTCGGAGTGAGCAGGCCTCTGAATTGAAGCAAAAAGGATTTATTTTTTTATTCAAGTTTAGAAAAGGAAAAGAACAATAAACAAATGGAAATTTTGATTTTCTGATTTTATTTTGAAACTGAATAACTAATGATCGAAGGGTACACGGATTCTTCAATATCAATGTGTTTGTTTTGGCTCTAGTTGTTTAAAATTCTCAAAAGAATTATGGCATTACTATTATTTTGTTTTTTTATTATTTGCGACACGGAAGAGAGAAGAGACCTCGCGGGCTCCTCAAAGCCGAGCCAGGGGGGCTATAGACGCGGGGGTGGGACCCAGGGACTCCCCTGGTTCCGGGGTACCCACGGTGTGAATTTGACGCGCGGGGGATAAAGGACCAGAAAGTTATGGCCCTTGGAAACCACCGGGGGACCGCGCGTCTGCCATCCGCCCAAGAGCGCTCATTTTGGGGGAGGAGAAGCTCGGCTTCCAGGGCTTGTCAAAAACGAACCAGGGGTGCTAGAGACACAGGGTTTTCACCCACGCACTCCTCCGATTCTGGGCTATCACCGGGGAGGGCTTTGCTCCCGCTCAGACCCGGGCCTGAGCACTCATTCCCGGGGGAAGGAAGCCCCGCTTTCCGGGCTCCTCAAAGCCGAGCCAGGGAGGGTAGAGACACGGGGGTGGGACCCAGGGACTCCCCTGGTCTCGGGGCACCCGCGGTGTGAATTTGACGCGCGGGGGATAAAGGACCAGAAAGTTATGGCCCTTGGAAACCACCGGGGGACCGCACGCCTCCCATCCACCCATGAGCGCTCATTTTGGGGGAGGAGAACCTTGGCTTTCAGGGCTCGTAGAAAACGAACCATAAGGGCTAGAGACACGGGGTTTTCACCCACGCACTCCTCCGGTTCTGGGCTATCACCGGGACGGGGAGTCCTCCCGCTCAGACCCGGGCCTGAGCGCTCATTCCCGCGGGAAGGAAGACCCGCTTTTCGGGCTCCTCAAAGCCAAGCCCAAGTCATCAATGTGAAGGTTAAAATCTCCAACGATTAAAACCGATTCCAAATTTATAATGGAGGATAAAAAAGTCACTAAAATCCTTCAAAAACGCAGCAGCAGGGCCAGGGGGGCAGTAGATTGACACGCAGTAAAATGGGTTTAAAGAACCCACCTTTACCATCTGGCACTCAAATGAAGGGGATTCCTGGACTGTCCTTGTAGACAACAGCCAGGCCTCCTCCAAGACAAGAAAGGCGGGGAGTCCCCACAACAGAGCAGCCAGGGGGACAGAGTTTCTGCCCCCCTCTTTCTGCCATGTCTCAGATAGACACAAAACATCCACCTTTTCTCTTTCAAAAAGATAATTCAAAGAGAAGGATTTGTTTGCAATAGACCTAGTGTTCAACAGGCCGATATGCAATGAGGGTGACGTCACGGAGAACGCAAGCCTCTTCTCCTCGATTTCTTTCGGACTCTGCCCGGTGCCCGAGAAAGCAGCACGTACTCCGGTGAGTTGGTGTCGATGATGAAGGGAGGGGGGAAGGCTTGCTTGTACCTGTAACGTGAATCAAAGAGGTCCATCGAGTCCTTAATTCGAAATAGAGAGTCCCGTTCATAGATCCGTAAAGCGGAGACACATTCAGACACAATACGAGCTGTTATGATCACATAAGTTGTGAAGAAGGCCATCAAAAATCTGTACAGCAGGTGACGAGCCATGGCACTGCCGGTCACAGGCGCCATCTTGCTCAAATGATGTACATAGGATGGACTGTGAAACATGTATGTGAACCTTTAAACTATAACCACTCTGAACGCTAAGAATACTTTTATTTCTTCTTCTAAAAGAAAAAGGTCTTTCCTCAGAAACCGCAGTCCAAATATTGTATTGAATTTGACCCTAACCCTAATTATTATTATCATTATTGTTATTTATTTGCCTTCTGCCTGTCACACAGCGCTGCCAACTATTGCAAATCAAGCCAGCAGTTTAAAAACGGAAACCTCCCCACAAGGAGTTTGTTCTGGCGTCACTTCCACACTCAAGCCACGCAACAACCCCCCCCCCCACAACTTCACCCTCATGCCACCACCAGTACCTAGGCCCAGGGGGGATTATAAGGGGCACACAAGGAATGATCTTCACGGACCAAGTGGCCCCAAGATGGGGCCTTGGGTGCCAAACAAACAAATCTAAAGCATTTTCCGTCTCTGTGTAGGCTCTCCAGATTTGGTTGTAGTTTTTGCCCCGGAAGAACAGTAATCCACAATAATAATTCCATCTTGCCTTGTGGCTCGGGCGAGGTTCATTTTGGGTCCTACAGTTTGGATTGCAAATCCTGTCTTCGAATTGTTTGATTCTCTAGACTCTCTCTGGTCTCTGTCTGGTCTCTCTTTCTGGTCTCTCTCTGGTCTATCTCTGGTCTCTCTGTCTGGTCTCTCTTTGGTCTCTCTACGGTCTCTCTTTGGTCTCTTCCTGGTAGGGGTGGGCAAAATATATTGTAGACAATAGTATCGTGAAAGTCAATTAGAAGATATGCTTTTTTGTATTATCGTCCTTTTTCTCTTTACATACATATTACAATTAGAGAAGGACAGATGCCCATTTGGTCTAATGTGTGCCTAAAAAGCCAATCACTGTTTTATTTGTACATTTCAGTAAATATTGAGCTAGCCTTTTTGAATGTGTTCTTTCTGTGTTACTTGAATTTAATTTTTAATGTTAATATATGTTAATATATGTTTGTGCATGTTTTGTGAAGCTTCTATTTAGATCTAGACTATCTATAGATGCCCTGACAGCAAAACATTACAGATCATTTTGTGTAAAAATGATTGATTTTAAAGATACCGTGACAATATCGTTATCGGGAGTTGGAAAAAAAAAAAGAGATATTTATTTTTGTCCATATCGTCCACCCCTACTCTCTGGTCTCTCGCTGGTCTCTCTCTCTGGTTTCTCTCTGGTAACTCACCTCCACTGAGGATGATGACAGCGAGGAACAGGGCCATGTCGCTGTCGTCCAATTCTAAGGTGTTGAACTTGACGGAGAACTCGAACTTGGGTTCCATCATGTGACAGAATGGCTTCCTCAGACTCCGCAGGAACTCACGTGTCATGAAGATGTGTCCGTACGAGATCAGAGTCCCGTCTTTGTTCATGAGTGGAGACATCATGATGATCAGGACCTCTATCACACCATACTTTAGCAGTGTCACCTGAGACACAAAACAAGACCCTCAGTCCTGGATCTACAGCTTCTGTCCAGGATCTAGAGTCGTCATCTAATTTTCAAGAGGTTTGTGTGTGCGTGAGTGTGTGTCTGTGTGTGTGAGAGTGTGCGTGTCTGTGTGCGTGTGGCGGTCAGAGAGACTGATGTCCCATACTGGTTGCCTTTCTTCTGTCAGTCTGTCCCAGCTGTGTTATTGATCTGCAGTGTTACAGGGGAAACCACACCTGGTCATTCAGGTCGAGGTCGATGAAACCTGGGATGCTCTTTGCAAACTCTGTCACTTCTCTCACCGCCTCAGCCGATCGGGACTGACAGCTGTGGAAGAACCTCATCTCTGCAGTGTCCAAGCACACAGAGCCAGAACCACTGGGAAGACCACTGGGAAGACAGCTGGAAAGGCCGCTGTAGTCCGCCTGGGATTCACTCATCAAGCCTGCAAATCAAATACCTCTGTTACGTTTCATGTTCTTACGGGCGAGAGAGAGATTTAATGTATCCCACAATTAGGCCTGTCACAATAACACATTTTGCTGGACGATAAATTGTCTCAGAAATTATTGCGATAAGCGATAATATTGTTGTTCTGAGATCATTTTCATCTAATACAATGATAATGATGCAGGTACACCTTTTCAAAGAGAAATAAACTTTTGTTTTTAAAGAACATTTAACAATAAAACACACAACCAAAAAACAATAAATAAAATAGACTCACAGTCTCTGTTAACAAAAATGAACTGAAATAAAACTGCCAGGACCTTTGTAAACAGTTATGAAACAGATGCCTCAATAGGCCATATGCAAAAATCGTTTTAGAAATAATTTACGCATGTAGTCCCACCTCACCACACACCAAGCGACTGACAAGTGACTGACATGAGGGTTCACTCATCTGGGCCGTTAAGACGTTGACGCTGGAACGCAGCTTCCGCGAGCACTTCAGACGCTTGGGGTGTTCAGACTTTTACAGTCTATGGTTCCACCACTTCCGAGTAGCGGGCGGACTTTGATGCTAACAGAGTTAAGCTAGCGGCATTTTGTGTAAAGCTTTTCTCCAATAATGCAGCTCTGCAGCGTCTCTGTGTCCAGAGACTTTCCAGAGACTTTATATAACAGCAGTATGTGTTCACGGAGGTGCGCCATACGTTTATTTTATTATTAAAATACGGTACTTCCGCATCGGCAAACACGCTGGCACACAAGAGAAAGGAGAGAGAGAGACGACGAAAACAAATAATCATGCAAATGGCATCTATCGCTCCCAGAAAAATTATCAAGCTAATTTTTATTATCATGCGATTAATTGATTTATTGAATATCGCGACAGGCAAACCCACAATGAAAAAACAGACAAAAGAAACATAGAATGTACTTTATACTAGGAGTGGACTGAGCGAGTGTCACACCAACATAGTGTTAACCTTAATGCAGAAGCTCAACGGTGCGAATTTTTGGACAATCCTTATTTGGCTCATATGTGGATTTACATAAACACCAGGATCAAAGACTTAAGGCCAAAATGAGTATGACACAAACGGTTACTGAGCTAGAGGAGTTTAAATTTACATGTCAATAAGAGCCAGAGAGAATTGGTGCCAACCTCCACCATTTGTATACAGGCTTTGCAATAGAAAGGTACATAAACACAAGGCAGAAAACAGCTCCATTCAAATATTTCTCATGCTCACACAATTTCAGATGAGAGCATATAGACAGAAGGGGTGGAGTAAAATGGTGAGGCAATGGCTTAAAACTGTACGCACAGTATGCACACTTGTCTACAAGTGACGAACCTTGTAGACAAGACTGTAGGCACACCGAGGTGAGGGCAGACGTGCATAGCAGAAACACGCAAGGAGTGTGGAGAGAAGGCCAGCCTGAGCTAAGTGGAAGGGAAGTCTGCAGCCTGTTACTGCTGTTACAGTTTTTACATTAATGTATTTTTGAGGTCTTTGTCTGGGTCTTGGTTTTGGTCTTGGTCTGGTCTCGGCCCTAGTCTGGTCTTGTCTTAGACTCGGTCTTGGTCCTGGTCTTAGCCTGGTCTTGTCATGGTCTTGGTTTTGGTCCTGGTCTGGTAATGGTCCAGTTTTCACATTGACAGCCTTTTCAGACAGAAAAGTGAAACAGAGGACCTTCACTCAGCCAATCACCTCTCAGGCCAAAGAGTCAGAGAGTGACTCACGGATATACAATTCTTCTAATAAGATGAAGACAGCATGTTGTGTTTGTTCACTTTCTGTTTAGATGTTCTATATAGAGACAGAAGCTACGTCCCTCAGCTTTAACAGAGACAAAAGTTATGACCATCAGTTTTAACAGAGACAGAAGTCATGTTCCTCAGCATTAACAGGGGCAGAAGTTGCATCCCTCAGCTATAACAAAGACATACGTTATATCCCTTAGCTTTAACAAAGACAGAAGTTATGTCCCTAAGCTTTAACAGAGACCTGCACAGAGCGACTGACCGCTGTATCCATTAGCGAGCGGTGGTCGCGGCTCATCATGTGTCGGCACTTGGACGTTGATGAACTGCTCCCCCTCCAGTAAAGACTTCATGTCGTGGATGACAAACGGCTGAAGACGAAAAAAGACAGGTATGAGGTCTCAGTTCCGTACTCAAGTCGAAGACGTGAAGAAATTCCGCCTTAAAGTGACACTGCATATAGAGCCCCCTGCTGGAGAAAAGTGATGACTGCACTATCATCTCCTCTCCTCTATCTGTCATTATGAGTTCAGCAGTGGCCTGTTCATTGCTTTTCACCTGCTGTCTCATTGTCTGTTTCATGGTGTGATGTTGGGACCCCTGTATCAGAACCAGTATGAACCAGATTGAAACCAGTCCATTAATTCTACACATAACTCAAGTCTTATTCAGCCAAAACAATAGCAGGTCACATAAAAATACTTCTTTAATAAATGCATGTGGACCACACATGGACAGGACTCAGGGTCAGAAGTGTGGGAAATGTAAACATGCAGCTAAATTGTACTTATGACTCCCTGTTTGATGTATTTTAGTAAACACCCAGCCCACCCCCAGGCGGACAGTCAAAACACAGGAGGAGGAGATACTGAGAGGCCTTGAACTGCTCTGACTGCAGCACAGACAGGGTTCTACAGTTTTAATTTTTTTTAAATTACCGGAGAAATGATAATATGTAGAACTAATATTATTGTAGAAAGATAAAGCATCCTTTTAGAAATATCTTTAATGGATTAGAACTGTATTACAGCATGTTGTCAACACTGAGAGAGACCAGAGAAAGACCAGGGAGAGACCAAACAGAGACCAAATAGAGGCCAGAGAGAGAGAAAATTCTTATTGGTTGCTACCCTCTCCGCAGCTACAGTATGACAGGGTGATAATGGACCACAAACATTCCAGGCCAAACAATATCTAGGCAGATCCAAAAATCCACCAAGACGAATGCCAAGTGCACCGTATGTAAAAGTTGCGTTGCGTAGATTTTATCACCATGAAGTCAGTTTTCATGTGAGCCCCTTCAAACATATTGTGATCTCACCACGTTGTCCCCAGTCTTGCCAGAGAGGATGGCCCTGGCCTTGGCCTTGGTGAGGGGGAAGTATTTGAGATAGGCGTTGTACAGGTGTCGGGACAGAGCACGCAGATCCGCCGCCTCCGGATGCATCAGCTCCACGTCTGAAGAAAACTCAGCCAACAACTTCTCCTTCTCCGCCTGGGGCATCCGGCCGAAGCGGATTGCTGCAAAATCACAAGTAGATGCAATCAAGGAGCCGGAGTAGAGAGCAAACATTAGGCAAAAGTTATCAAGATGTGGGTTTTGGACAGATTTAAAGAGTGTGCTTCAGCTGAGAATTAGGAAAGACATTATGACAAAGAAAATGTACTGATGATTTCCCAAATCATTATTTGACAGTGATTAGATATAGAAAGCCGCCATATTATTCTTATGGTCTCTGTCTAGTCTCTCTGGTCTCTCTCTAGCTGGTCCCTCATTCTCTCTCTGGTCTCACTCTGGTCTCTTTTTGGTCTCTGTCTAGATTCACAAAAAATGTGCTGAGGGGAAGAGAGTGGAGTGAAATATATAATAATAATAATAATAATAATAATATATGGGGGCAACAGGGGCTCAGTTGGCAGAGCATTTGGCCTTTGGTCGTGGGTTCGAACCCACCACAAGACCAATTCACGACTTCTTGCTGTGTCTGCTGTCACTCTGTCCTTGGGCAAGACACTTTGCCTGAAGCCCCTGCTGAAAAGATCAAGGCTCCTGTGGACTCACCAAGTGCAGGAGGATCAGTGAGGGGCTGGAGTAATGGAGGATGGATGAATAATAATAATAAGAAGAATAATAATAATACAATTATGCATTGAGTTTGGCATGGGGTTCCATATGCAGCATCACTGACAATTTGTTCTTACCAGAGTGTTGACTGAGTCTTGTGTGCCGTGTGTGTGACTGTGTGTGTGTGTGTGTGTGTGTGTGTGTGTGTGTGTAAAGAGCGTAAGAGCGCTGAAAAATGAATGAATGAGAATGTGTGTTGATGTGTTCTGGCGATTAAATAAAGACTGATTCTTTAATGTCTGAAGTATTATTGCAATAGCACCACACTGAGAGCGAGGGTCAGAACAGAGGGAGTTATTCCCGTAGGAAACGCTTTTCTTTGGCCCTGGAGCGACACACCCCCTTGCACCCCTCGACCACGGTCCGGGGTTTATATGAAAGGTTTAACACAAGCGGAAAATACGAAAGTGCAGGGAGAAACGTGTGTGAAAATGTGCATCACAACGGAAGACGTAATGTGACGCACAATATCAAGTCCCCACCACACCTCATCCCCCACTCCCCACCACCCGCCACACTGACCCCCCTCATCAGGGCTTTGCAAGCGGGCCCTGGCCCAAGTCTTCAAGCGTGCTTGGGCGCGGTTGGGGCTATCGTGCCCAAGCCCACTTTCCGCGGTCACATAGCACCTAAAGCCCGGATCTAATCGCGAAGTGAGCCCTGGCCCACTTAAACCGGGCTTTAGCCTGTGCATGTGACCGCAGCCTTACCTTCCTAACAATATGCTAAATGAAAGACTCTTTTAAGCCTGGCCTACAGACTGTGTCTACTTCCTTGATGTGAATGGGAAGCTGATTCCAGGAGGAGCTTGAAGCTAAAGGCCCTGTCTCCGACTGCACTTTGTAGGAACCAGCAAAAATCTGGCATTTTGGGAGCGCAGTGAGAGAGTTTAGTTGATATGACAACAACGTGTTTTACCATTTATGGCGGGGGTCATCAACTATATTTGCCAGAGAGAATTAAATCAGTCAGATTAATTGATTGCCATTTGCAGTAACATCAAATTGGAATACATCCGCAAAAGTCCCCAGTGGGCACAAGGTAAGTACATAAATAAAACAAGGTCAAAAGTACAGAAATAAAACAAAACAAAAACAGGAAATAATTGACACTGTGAAATTGATCAACTAAAAACAGTTTTAATACAAAGGCAAGATCATTTAACGTTCCTTGTTTAAACTGATAACAGCTTGTGAAAATAAGCAGTTAGCAAAATGAAATGTCCTGCATCTCAACAAACAATATCTTCTGCCATGTTCCAGAAGCTGGAAAATGGCTTTTCCAGGGTGGGCAGAAGAGTCATTGATTATTATTATTTCCATCCATCCATCCATTAATTTTCTACCCCTTAATCCATTTCTGGGTCTGGGGGGGGGGGGGGGGTGACCAGAGATGCCACCCAGTCCACATAGCACCAGCCCCTAACTGATCCTCCTGCAGGTGGTGAGTCCACAGGAGGATGGCCGCTGTATGGCCGCTTGATCTTTCAGTGGGGGCTTCAGACAAAGTGGGGTTAAGTGTGGAGAAGTTCTCATGGTGGGCTCGAACCCACGACCTTCAGGCTCTAAGGCCAATGCTCTACCAACTGAGCTACTGTCGCCCCATTATATATATTTTTTTTAAATCATGAAAATGCCACAAAACAGGAGAATGACAGAGAAAATGAGGAAGATTATAATAATTATTTTTCTTTTTCATTTATTTTAGGCAATGGTACAGAAGGGATATAAAAATGTCATATAGTGCAAAATTATAAGGACAGAGAGTTAATGTACAATGTAAACATACTTGATTCTGCCTGAAAGGGAGTGGGAAAAGGATAACATATTTAGTCCCACCCCAATTCCCCAATCAGTGATTGATGAGTTAAGCGTCACTGCTTTATATATACAATATATATATATATACACAATATATATATATATATATATATATATATATTGTGTGTATATATATATTATATATTATATAATTATATATATATATATATATATTATTATATATATATATCCCCAATCAGTGATTGATGAGTTAAGCGTCACTGCTTTATATATACAATATATATATATATATAATCATATATATATATATATATATATATATATATATATATATATATATATATATATATATATATATATATATATATATATATATATATATATATATATATATATATATATATATATATATATAATATATATATATATATAATTGTGGTATACCAAGATACTTGTAACTGTCTATATAATGGTTCTATATAATGAAAGGATTTAAGAAGAAAAAAAGTTCAGGATGACAAGGGACACTAAAATCCCCACAAAATCCGACCTTTATGAAACCTGTAGGTTCTCTGTCAGCTGAGGTTGAGCTGTTTTAATATGCATTGAGTTCTATGGGGAACATTTCTGAGTAGCCCACGTGAAATTAGTCTGGTTCAGTCTGCAGTACCGCGAGAATCCCCAGAGCACATGAGTTATTCAGCTACAAGCTAGTAATACCCTATCCAGTTATTATAATAGATCCATGGTCAGGAGGGACAGCTTCGCTCTGGGCTACCCCCTTGGCCTCTGTGGAGGAGGTGAAGGACAAGAGGGTGCTAGCCAAAGTCACGGACAACACCTCCCACCCACTGCACAGGACTGCAGAGGAGCTGAGGAGCTCCTTCAGTGGAAGATTGAGACACCAGTGCAAGAAGGAGCGCTACCGCAGGGCCTTCATCCCCACTGCTATCAGACTGTACAATAAGTCACTTTAAGTCACTAATTACCTGCATTAGTACTGAAAAACCAGCACTGCTATTGCCACTTTTTTATTTTACATAATATCCCGCATAAACTATTTATTTTTACCCTTATTATGTTGCACACTTCTGTCTTTTTGTACAATCTGAGTTATTCTATCCCTGCCAAATGTAACATGTAAATATCTCCTTTGTGAGATCAATAATGTTTATCTTATCTTATTTGTCTTTTTAACAGTGGAGTACAATTTGCCCATCCACTTCCAACATTTCAACGGTGGAACCAGTTGCCCGGTATACACAACTCATTATAAAAATTGTCTTTTAATCGTTTTGAATTTTCACTGCTAAACATTCAAATAATCCATCCACAACCATGGACATATTTGTTAGTACAAAGAATTTAACAGATTTGTGAATGTACACATCAACCCCACCTCCTATTTATTGAATCTGTTTGTATATCTTAGTTCATAAACTTCAAGAACCAAATAAATACCTTTGAACCAGGTTTCAGTAATTGCAATAATCCTAAACGGAAAAGTAATTTGTTTCAAGCAGTCTTTGATAGCCTCAAAGTTGTACATGATTCGACTATTGAAATGTATTTATAGACAGTTTACCTTATGATTTGATGCCATTTTCATATTGTTCTTGGGTAAAGTCATTACAGTTTTTGACAATGGTAGAGAGATAATTATTATCAGGGTCTATTTCTGTGATGGATTCTATTGTGCTGTGCTCTTCATACTCACACGTTTCTTGGTTCTCTTGTTGATGTTGTAGGATCTTTTGTAACATGTCCATATTCATAATTGATGCAGTCTGTTATTGGTGTGTTAAGCATTGTGATGATATAAAGTCAGAAGATACATGGTGGTGGGGGTTGGGTCAGTGTCGATATTTTTCAAGATATTCTATCCTCTTTTCTACATAGACTTTTGCTTCCTCCGGAGTCGCATTAAAATCTTGCAGTTGGTTACCTTGGTTTGTTGAATGTTGCCTTGCTTCTTAAGTTGTGCAATCATTGTGATGTCAGCATTTTTCTTGGTCAAGTGTTCCTTCATGAAGACATTTGTGCCTTTAAGTTTTGCGCCCTTGTTTCAATAGTGATATTTTCTTTTTCCGATTGGTAAACCTCATAATGACCGCTGGTGGTCTCTCGTTCCTTGTGGGTAGTGGATGACATGCTTCGATATGCTCCAGGTCCATCTCTATCCACCTGCTCTGGAGGTAGGAAGCCACCTGTTGCTCCAGGACTGTGTCTCCTGCTCGCTGGGCATCTCCCCGCTGTCCGTGGCCATCGCATAAAACAAGAGATCTTGTCTTATGCGCAATCCTGACCAGTGATGACCACATTATTCATACGGGAGCATTGCTCCAGCTCATCCACTCGTCTTTCGAGATCCACAATACGCTGGCCTTTCTTCAGTGAGGCCATTCTGAGAGGTTAAATGCTGCATCCAGTGGCAGAAATCACAACTTGGGTTCAGTCCGATACACGTGCTAACAGTACAGTATGGCGCTAGCTCGTAGCCTCGTAGCGCGGATGCGTAGTCGCACACAAAGTCCAAAGTTAAAACACACAATAAAATAGGCACAGGCCGAATCATACGGCTAGACAAACTATATTAAGTTGGTATTGTTGATTGA